GCCACCGGGCACCCAGCGCCGCCCCGGCTCCCCCACGCGTGGTACCGGCGAGGAGCCCCGCTCAGCGCCGCCTCCCGCTGCCGGCCCACGGGTGGCAGACACGCCGGTCACCCCCCTCCGTGTGTGTTGTTCCCCCCCGCCCCCGTCACGGGCACACGCAGGGGTTGGACACGCAGCCCATCGCTTTATTGCTACAGGAAAAGGCGACTGTACAAAAATAGAGTTTATCCCTCAAATTTTACAAATAATAGAAAAAAAGGGGGGTTGGGGGGGGGCACAGGGCACCGGGGGACGGGGCGCTGCCCAGGGCTTCACAGCAGCGCTGGGGTTAAATTACACCCGGCCCCCGGGGGCCCAAAGTCATAAATAGGAGCTGCCGCTCGAGAACAATAAATAAATAATTTAGAGTAATAAATAGTTCAGTGCCGCAGCACTGCAGGGCAGCAGGGGGACCCTGCCACCCCCCTCGGGAGCCGGCCAGGGGTCCCAGCAGGTGCCCACACCCCACCACCCTGTGGAGCACCAGGGGCTGCCGCTAGCCCGGGTGCAGGTCCCCCACCCCACACTGGCGGGGTTTGGCCCCGCTGCACTTCTGTCCCCACGGGACACCCCCTTCTTGCAGGGCAGCTCCGGCCACCACCAGCCCCACGATGCCCAGGGGGACAGGGAGGTTCTTCCCCCTTTCTGTCTCCCCCTGAAGCTTGAGCGACTCGTGGCCCCAGCTCCACTAAAGCAGGGGTGCTGGAGACCAGTCCAGGCAGGGCACAGGCGAGCTGGGCACTGCTGGTGGACACTGGGCTAGCAGACCCCTGTGAGCAGCGGAGATGCCACCCTCCTGCTCCTCTCCCAGGGCTGAGCACCCGGCAGGACCCTGTGTCAGCCAGTGGCACCACTGCTTGGCACTGAGCAGGAGGGGGCCGTGCTGCCCGCACCCCCATCATGGCTCCGTCTCGCCTCGGTCCCTCGTGGCCACGTCAACCTGGGGGCAACGCGCCTCTGCCAGACCCTTCCTCTGAGCGTCGGCGCCGCTGTGCGCCACGAAGGCAGGGTCTGCCGGCATACGTCGAGCCGGGGCCGAGCCGGCAGCCCCCTCCTCAGCCGATGCAGCTGCACTCAGCCGCCGAGAGCTTCTCCACTGTCTGCCACGTGTTCTGCACGTCCATGAAGGAGACGGCCTCGTAGCGGGTGGGCCGGCAGCAGGGGTGGCTGAGGACCCGCTCCTGCGGCCCCGGGGTGATGAGCTGCTGCCGCAGCAGGCTGCCCAGCGTCAGGTCGTAGTTGCTGCGCGCCCGGTGGCAGGACCCGCTGCAGTACTTGAAGAGCACGATCTCGTCCGAGTTGAAGCCCAGGCCCAGGTCACGCACCTTCACCATCAGGTTGCGGATGTGGCAGTTGCGCCCGCGGGACCCCCGCGAGGCTTTCCGTGCCCCCTTCTTGGCTTTGCCGGTGCCCGGCGGTGAGCGCTCAGCACGCAGCAGCAGGTCCTCCGCCAGCTCCGCGGCACCTGGGCCACCCGTTGTCGCATTGTCCCCTGGATGTGGAAGGGATAGCACCATCAGACCCTGTCCCACACCTGCCACCCTCCTGGGGGCCACCAAGCCTGCCTGTCCCTTGCCGTGGCCTGCAGACCCCTCCTGACCACTTGCGATGGCACTGGCCAGGCGCTCATGTGGTGGTGGGGTGGGTGGGCACTGGCGAAGCAGCTCCTCATCCCCAGGGCTCTGCCACCATCCCCAGCATGAATCACGGGGCCCCACACGTTCAGCCCACCTCCTGCCCAGCCTCAATATGCAGAGGTGGCCCCACATAGGCTGGGGCTCACTGCAGTGGCTCCCAACCTGCCCATGCCCCACATACGGGGCCACCATGCCCAGGGTGGAGGGTCCTGCCCCAATACACACCATACAGCTGGCTCCAGGCAGCGGCGAGTGGTACCTCCACACCGTCCTCCACAGCTGGGCTGGCGGTGGCCATGCCCCGTGGTGTGGGGGCCGCGTCCAGCGTCTCATTGCAGTGTGGCGTTCGCAGGGTGCCCGCGGCAAGCCCGGCCAGCAGCGAGAAGATGGCAAGGAGCCCCCACAGCATCCCTTCCTGTGATAAAGCACAGCACGGTGTGGTGAGCCGCAGTGAGGGTCCCCATCAGGGATGAGGCTCCAGAAGCTGGAGATGGGGACGAATGGTCCTGGTCATTGCAGCCAGCCAGGCCTGGGCTTACCTTGGGCTGCGGGTGTGTGGTGGGTCCTGCAGGTCTTGGTTCTGGTGGCCCCGCTCGCTGCTCCATGCTGCCTGCAAGTGCAGAGGTGGGAGTCAGTGCCCACACAGAGGGGATGGGGTAGACATCGAGCCGGCCGGCTGGAAGCTGGCACACCTCTCCCCTGACCCAGCCAAGCATGCCATCCCCTCTCTCACCCCCCCAGCACCCTGCAACTCCTCCTGCATCCCATCCATGCCCTCTCCCATCCCCTCCCTACACAGCCAGGCATCCTCACCACCCCGCACAGCCCTTCCCAGAGATTTGGCAGCTGGGGTGGCTCAGCCTTCACCCAGCACCTCTCCTCAGGGGGACGCAGCTGCCTCCTCATGCGAGCAGCCCGGGATGCCAGGCTGGGCTGTGAGGCAGTGGCTGGGGCTGAGAGCGCCACGGGGGGGGCCCTTTCCCATGGCCCTTCCCTGGGAATGTTTTTCTTGCTCGCGGTGGGAGCCTGACCTTGGAAACTCCAAATCCATTAGCACAGGGTCCCTGGTGCAGCCACCCCCCGGCCCCGCACTGGCTCCCCTGCCCGCTGCCTGCAGGGAGGTGGGACACACAGCCCCAGAGCAGCGTGGGCGAGTGGGGCCGTGAGGGGCAGGATGGGCAGGCAGGTCCCACGGGGACACGGCGGGGCACAGGGCACCACATTGGGTTCGCTGTGGTCATTCACCCCAACACCCCTGCCCAGCATCCACTGTCCCGACAAACACGGGGGAATTTGGTCCTGCCATGCCTGGTCCCAGCAGAGCAGCAACCACAGTCTCAGGGGAGCAATGTCCCTTGGGAGGTGCAGGGGCAACTCCCAGTCTGCAGCCACATCTTGCACCTCCTTCCCCAGCTCCTCTGGGGTGCAGGAAGGTGCCTGTGCCCCTTTGTCACAAGATAAGATCCCTCAGATGTGACTCCCAAGGGGGCTTTAACCCTCCTTGGCCCATCTGGTGCATCCCCTGTCTTTTGGGACAGGATTGTCTCCTCAGAGCTTGGTGGCATCCTGCAGCGAGGAGTTCCCCTGGCCCCTCCATGGCTTTGCCCTGGCATGCCTCAGGTGCTTCCATGGCAAAGCTGGGATAGGACATGCTGAGGAGAGTGCTCCTGACCAAAAAATGAAGGGACTCAGCTGGGCATCGGTGGGACAAAGAGAGAAAATCAGTTCCCCCAGTCCCCCCAGCATCTCAGGGGATGGTCCCCAAGTCGTGATTGCTGTGTCTCATGCCACTCTGCACCGGCCACACCATGGCAAGGGGCCGTGATGGGCACTGCCAGGCCCATGTGCCTGCTCCGGGGGCCGTACACGGGGCAGGATGAGTTCCCGGTGCGAGCAGGGCTGGCACCGGCCCCCCCGGCCCCACCAGCCGCCACAGCCTGGCCAAGCACAGCCCACGCAGCACGTCTCTCCCGTGGCGGCCCGTGGCCCAGCGCCAGCCGCTGCCGCCAGGTCATGCTTTTCCCAGGCCGGCACCCCCGGAGGGGCCAGGCGAGGGTCCCCGCGCCCCGCTGCGACGGGACGGTTTTCCCCCCCAAAACCTCGGTCCTCGCTCCCGCTGCCGGCCACCCCGCCGCGGCCCCTCGGCCCCAGCATCCCGGCGGAACGGGACGGGACGGGTATGGGACGGGACGGGACGGCGCAGCCGGTGCAGTTCAGGCTTCTCCCGTCCGGCGGCAGCACGGCCCCGAGCTCTGCGGCGGGAGCGCTGCCGGCGGGGCGCCGGGCGAGGGCAGCCTCCCTTCGCCCCGGGGCAGCCCCGGTGCCGGCCCTGCCACCGCCTCCTCCGCAGACACCGAGCCCCGTCCCCCGGGGCAGCTCCCCGAGCGCGCAAGACCGCAGCCCACGCAGGACCGCAGCCCACGCTGGCCCCGCACCCCTGAGGGCAGGGGCAGCAGGTGGCACTGCTTGGCCCCTCATTTCCCCCAGCACGGACAGGGCTGAGCCAAGCTCCTGAGCAGCCCACGGGGGTGCCAGACCTGCACCCCCCACACACACGGCAGAACCCGGCTCCCCCAGACCCAGTGGAGATCTGACTGACGTCTGTCCCTACCGCGGCTGCAAGAGCCCAACTGGGCCATTAACAGGCACAGGAGCCCTTTCCAGGGTCAGGATCAGGCCCATCCATGTGAGGACCTGCCTGACTCCCCCACCCGGGAGCTGAGCAGCAGCGGGTCACCCCACACCCACCCGTGCAGAGCCCCACTGCCCGCCCAGTGCACAGGGTGACGGGGAGGGGGTGCCCCGTGGGCTGCACCAAGCCCCCGGGGGCGGCAGGACCCGCTTGCGAAGTGCATCCTCGCAGGGCCAGCGGGTGCCCCAGCCCCAGTGTGAGGGTCTCAGCTCACGAAGTGGCCGGTTTGGGAAGGGGGCTATGCTGGGGCCTCTCTCGCCACCGCTCGCCCTTCCAGGTCCCGCCGGGCAGCGCAGGGGGGATGCCCGGAGACCCCCCCCGGGCACCTGCGGGCACCGGCGGAGGCCCGGCATCCCACCGCGCTGCCCCCGGCAGGAGTGACGCTGAGGGGTGTCAGAAATGAACCCCACGTGTGACGCGGAGATGGCACCCGCCCCGCAAAGCCGTGGGAGGCCGGAGTCGGACACGTGGGGCACACGGGCGACACCAAACTCGGCCCCAGCCCGGGGGAAAGCAGAGCCGGGGGGCGCCGGGCAGTGCCGGCCCGGGCACCGCCGCCCCGGGACTCTTCCCCGCTCACCGCCCGGTGCCTTCCCGACGTGCCCAAAGGGCCGGGGCGGGAGCCCAGGGAAGAGGCGGGTGCGACCGTCCCCGTGCCCCCCCCCGGCACCCGCAACGGGGTCCCGCCTCTCCCCACCCGGGCGGGGAACCCCGTCCCTGCCGCGGCCCCGTACCCCCCCTCAGCCCCGGTACGAGACCCCGCCGAGGCCCGGCGCCGCCGGCAGGCTGGGGTGGACGCAGCCGCCCGCCGCCCCGGTCCGCACTCACCGTGCCCGCGGCGGGGACCATCCCCCGGGCAGCCGCCGCCC